AGTTCACCCAGATGCCCATTAACTAGGGAAGCAGCCTGTCTGGACTCTCAGTGCTGCTGGCACTAAAGATCCTGATGACATTCTTTGTCCCAAGAGGAGAATTTTAGAATAAGTGAGCACAGGATGATAGTGATTGGTTTAAGCAAAAGAAGAGGTTATCTTTGATATTCAAGAATTCCCCAGTGAGTCTGCAACACCCAGCATCCTCTTGTTAGGCCTTAGATGTATCAGTCCACTTGCACAAACCCCTGCCATGCAATAGTCACAGGTGTGCTTGGATGACCACAGAGCTATGGAAACCACAGTAGAAAAATAGCATCTCTCACTTGGCCTTTGAACTTATCAGTGATTTTCCCCCAAGGCTGAATAGACCACTCTCTCTGCTGAATGATGGGGCTGGGAGGGGCCTCCACCAGAGCAGGGGGCTGGGATCTCCTCCACTGAGGATGACTAAGTGGATATTGCTCAAAGAGTTGCCTACTTTGGAAATATGGCGGTGGGATACCACCCAATCTATCTAATTACTAAAAAGTTGGGGGTTTTTTTGTTTGTTTGTTTGTTTGTTTTTGGTTTTGTTTTTGTTTTTTAAGGCAACCATGGTTAAGTGGACTTTCCTGGGCCAGACAGGATAAAGGATACTGAAATGGGGTGCACCAATATAGGGATGGTTCCACAGTAGTTTGACTCACTCCAGCACTTGACATTTACATGCCTTCCACCATATATTAGCAGGATCTCATACCTGAGACTGTAGAGTTGTGACATTGGGACAAGAACCTTAAAATTGAGTCACTATCCCAGTTTTAGCTGTATAACCTTAGGCTATTCACATGACTTCTTATAACTTTTTGAGTTTCTCCTCTGTAAAATGGGAACAGAGATGTTATCTACCATACAGTGCTGTTTTTCAATCATAATTGATTATTAGTAGCTCAGGAAAGTACTTTGTAGACTTTATAAAATAACCAGGTGAAACTGATTTATAGAGAAAAAAATTAGATGGGAAGGGATGGAGGGAATAAGAATGAACTTGTTTGTCTAAACAGAACCAGAACCCACTCAGATTATCCCCCTGTCAGAAAGGTCATTGATGACATTATATGCCAGGTCCAAATAAATAAAACGTAAGCCTTGTCCTCAAAGGGGACTTACAGTCGTCATATGCTTCCGGATAAAGGATGAACAATACTTGTCATGTAATTACTGAACCTCTATCACAAAGAGGTGATAGTGGGAATATAGAAATTTAAGTTTTATGACTGAGGGAAGTGGAGAGACTAGGGGTAAGGGGGGCTAAAAGAAGACTTTAATATAGGGAATTAGTCAAGCTTTCAAACCTGCATAATTACCCTAGTCATTACCAGTTTTCCAGGTAAAGAGATTCTAGATGACTTGGAGTTAACCCACAATCTCCTAACAATGACTATGAGGTAGTCTGACCAGAGACACTGCAAATTAGACAAGAGACTAGCGTCTGGCCTTGACCCAGAGGGGGCTGTGGAAGGTGAACACTACTGAACTTTGACCATTGGCCCCTATGATGGAATAAAATAACTCGTTTTATCAGTGTTATTATTTAATGCTATTGCCACCAACATTTATTAGCTTCTTTCTGTTTCCCATGTGTTTTCATACCTATGAGCCTATTTAATCTCAGCCACCCATCAGGACCTACTTTTTTTTTTTTTAAAGATTTATTTATTTGTACATACAGAACTGGGGTACAGGCCAGAGGCTCAGGGATGGTGAGAGGCTTCACCAGAGACAGAGTGGGGAGCAGAACAGGCAGATCGATGAAGTACACTGCTGAGGGGAGCAGCGGGCGGGTCAGGAGAGGTCTGCCACGTCATGTGGTCTCCTCCGGGGCGGGCGGGATTCGAACTCATGCGGAAGTGGCTTTAGCTTCTCAGTGCAGTGCTTTAATCCTCTGCGCCACCAGGGAGGGCCAGGACCTACATTTTTGTTTTATATTTCTACATTATATTCTGTACTTAAAGTTTCCAAAATCACGGAGGCTCCATAAGCTGAGTATTTGGCCCACATAGCAAAGCCAGAGATCCTAATCTGTATCACATCTAATTCCAACTCCACATCGTCTCTTTTCTTGACATGAATATCAGTCACATGTAAAGGAAGTTCTTCAAAAAGTTTTCTTTTCCAGATCATGCTTAGTGAGATAAGCCAGAAAGAGAAAGAAAAATACCGGATGGTTTCACTCATAGCAGGAGTATAATGGACCAGGCGAGAAAATAACAAAAATAATGAACCATATACCAGAGACATTTTGTGGGGGTGGAGTGGGGAATGGGATCAAAAACGGGGTGGGGGGGAGGGAGAGAAATGCATGGGACTATGGTGGTGGCACACGGGTGATTTGGTGATGGGAAACCTGCGGGGATTACAATCGAGATGGAAAAAAAAAATGTGCAAAATGATGTAAAAATAAACTTTTGTAATAATTAAAAAAAAAGTTTTCTTTTCCTCTGCTTTTATTAGTAAATCTGAATTTCATTTGTAAATCAGACACCAGTGGGGAACAAAGAATTTCAATTTCCCTGAAACTTTGTGAAAGCAATTTATTAAGAACTAAAGAGCTATTTTTATTCACGGCAAGTAATTGTCTGCACAGTTCTGGAAGCTCCTCCACATACACTAAAATGCACACTGTTTCCTAAAATTGTACCATAAGATAAACATGAGTATAATCATTTATAGCATGTTTACAAAAATTTGTTGTTTACAAAGAATGTCCACAGGACTTAAGCTTCGCAAAATTACTGTTACTGTGATAAGATACAGAAGAGGGAATGAGATCCAGAGATTTTGTATAAGCTGCTTTATGACATTTCCAGGATTTCTTCTGTATTCTTTCTTCTGCCTCAAATGAACCGATATTGTTTCCTGCCTATAATTTTTCACTGTGAATGTTTTTTACCTACCAGATTCCAGGAACTGGCACATAAGTCAGCATCCCTGGAGTGAGAGGCCCCAGGGAGATGCCAGAGCCCGTGAAATGTCCTATCGGTCTCCCCCACTCCACCCCTACTCATGGTCTCCCCAAAGGTATTAACAAAAATCCCTGCAATTGACGGAGTTTAAACATGTTTGGTTAATCTACAGGTGATAGAAATCAGAACAGTGATGGGCCTGGCAGGAGGAAAGCTGCATGGAAGGGGCACCAACCAGCAGCCTTCTAGAATAATGGAAACCATCCACTCCTCACTGCCTGTTGGTAGAGGTATTAAATTATGGTGCTAGGTCCTGTTGATTTACATGATTTATTTTAGATGTGAGATGTCAAAAAAGCAAAACATTTTAAAAATAAAATACCCCGAATGCAAAACAATTTTTTTTAAGAGAGATAGTCAGCATACCAACAAGAAAAGGAAGGGAGACAGGGTGATTGGGCAACCGGCCTGAGGCAGGAGGCCAGGGATTTAAGAAAGTAAATACGTTTACGTTAGGACAGGACATGTGGGAGAGGAGTTGGGGGAGAAGTGACAGAAACACCAAAAATCCTGTGGTCAGAACAAAGAAGATGTAGTCTGACCTTTGAGAAGCTGGAAAGAGGGAGTTTGTAGCTTCTATCACTCCCAGAGTCTAAGGCATAATCCATGTGGAGCCCAGGCAAGAAACTGGGCCTTGTACTGTCCCAGCTCTCATATTGGCAAATAACTCCTGTACTTCCCAACAAAACCTCTGTAATTTCCCACTTCTATCTCTGATGCAAGCAGACATCATTCATCCATCAGTGCCAGAACACAGATGCTGTACTCACTCTCATTCCATATGATCCACAGCAGCTACGTGAAGGAAATATGCCTGAAAACACATGCACCAGGCATATGCCCAACCACAATCACCACAAACAATACACACACATCCTTCAAGCATGGCAAGCCACCTACATGTGACCAAAAACATAAATCATACAGAAAGACTTCCTATCACATTCACCATGCATGACAGATCTGTGTGAAGATGGACAACAACACACACACTCTGAAAGTTTGCACCATCCCCACCCACACTTTCCACACACTCAGCATGTTGCATATTCTACATTGCTACAAATATATAAATGCTTTGCATTCTACACATACAATCTGCATTTACATTTTATAGTTTACATCTTACAAATATAAAGAAGAGTTGCAGGCAATATTTTCATCAGACACACATAAAGATACTGCAGAGACACATGTCACACACCAACTCACCTAAATTTAAAAAAATGTGCCATCATATATATTATTCATGAAGCATACACATGTCAGGACACACCTTCACCAAGATATCACAGACACATATTCTACGTTCTCATGCTCTCACATACACACACGCTGTTAATAACATAGATATATCCACACAGTCACGGTCACAACCAGAACACACAGTGCTCGGAGGGTGTTCAATGGTGCCTATAGACGCATGAGGGCAGAGCCCTCATAAATATACACACATGAATATAGAAACACAAATACTCCATGTTAACTTTCTCTTCCCTTATTATCATTTCCCTTCCCTGGCTCCAGTTACAGTCACCCAAATACATTCATAAACACCTAAAAATAACCATGTAACCACTTTGGGATCCAAGAAAGAAAGTTTATAAACAACAAAAAGTTGTTGACATGAATGCAAGAGAGCAAGAATAATTAAAATTATACAACAAGACTGGAAAGAATTGTGTGTGGCATTTACAGTCTTCTTGTGTCAGAAGTGTTTATGCATTCTGGTTAAAACAGCAGGCTAACCCCAGGGCTCTGTGGCAGAGACACCAGAATGATGATTCTCCAGGATGGCCTGTTCAAACTGGGTCATAAGTTCTTTTGCATCAACAAATTCCTGGAGATAAAAGTCCAAGGCCTGTTTAGATAGTAGGAAGCAGAAAAAGCCCACATCCCAATGGGCTGCATGCTCCGATCACCAAACCACTTGATGGGATCCTACTGTCCCCGTCTTTAGCAAAAATTGCAGATACCACAGGCTGATCTTGCTCAACTTTTATCCCAGGAGAACAAACGGAGGATCCGTGAACGGATCTCCTTGGTCTTTGCGCCATAGACCACAGGGTTAACCACAGGTGGTAGTAGTAGGTAGACATTAGCCATGACCACATGGAGCAGGGAAGTAGGTCCTCCCAGTCTGTGCACCACAGAAAGTCCAATGAGAGGCACATAGAAGACCAGAACCGCACAGAGATGGGAGATGCAGGTGTTGAAAGCCTTGAGCGCTGCACCTCGAGAGGACAGCGCCAGCACAGCCCTCAGGATGAGGATGTAGGAGAAGCCAATGAAGAGGGAGTCCACGCCCATGACTGAGAGTATGATGAAGAGTCCATACACTACATTGACCGTGGTGTCGGTACAGGACAGCTTCATAATATCTTGGTGCAAACAGAAAGAGTGTGTGACGGTGTGTTTGCGGCAGTATGACAAGCGCTTCAGGATGAAGGGCAAAGGGAAGAAGAATACAAACCCCCTGGCCAGGGCAGCTAGACCTATCTTGGCAACTGTAGGCCCTGTGAGCACAGAGGCATGCCGCAGAGGGTAGCAGATGGCCACAAAGCGGTCAAAAGCCATGGCCAGCAGGACAGCTGACTCCATGGCTGAAAGAGCATGAATAAGGAACATCTGGGCCAGACATATGTTGAACTCAATCTCCTGGGTGCCTGTTAGGAAGAGGCTGGCCATCTTGGGCATAGTGACAGAAGAAAGTACTAGGTCAATGGTAGAAAGCATGGCCAGGAAGAGGTACATGGGTTCATGTAGGCGCCGTTCCACACGGATGATAAGGACAATGGTCAGGTTTCCCAGGGTGGCTAAGGCATACATAAAACACAGGGGGAACGCCAGCCAGAAATGTGTGTTAGGCCCCAACCCAGGGATGCCCACCAGCAGAAAGTATATTGGGTGGACCAGAGTTCCATTGGAAGTAACCTTGACTGGAACCAAGAGTTTAGGATTCTGCATTCCAAGTCCAGGGTCTATGAAAGAGGAAAAGAATAGAGAAGAGAGGGAATTTATAAGGAAGGGGCACTAAAGCAGTGAAGGTAGCTGAAAGATTAAGTAAATCTAGTAATTCTGAACTACAGTCTCTCTGTTTTCAAATTCTCCTTCTTGTATCCCGTTGGGGCCCCATTAACCACAGAAAATGTACACAACAGCTTTCATTTCCAAAGCTGCTATTTCTAACTAGCAACACTGCTCTTGGTCACTTTCCAGTCGAGCAGAAAATTTTGCATAGAAGCATCCACACTGACACCAGCTAATTCTCCTAATGCCAGCAGGGCTATGGTTGGTTTTAGTCCAGATCTCAGTCTATGGTGTAGGGTTCAGTGTAGGATTAGACTTCAAAAAGCAGGGTTTTTGTTTAGGTCTGAGTGGCACTTGGCAAGCTTCCCTGATAGAATCATCTCAAGCAGTTAGTGAAATATTATCCCCCCAGGTCCTACTCCTGGCACAGAGCATCGAAATTTCCAGGGTACAAGTCTGTAAATATGATTTTAAAACAATAAATCCTTTCTCCTGGGTAATATGTTTTTAATAAGAGAAATTTGAGGAGAGCTGTTCTGGTGTTTGGGAAGGTGGAGAGATAGGGGTAACAAAGGCAATCACTTCCAGTACTCTTAGCTCCGACAAAGGAAAGAATTAGATTCTTTCATAAAGGCCTTTCAAGGGCTACCTGAATCAGCCTAGATTGTGCTTGGCTGGGGTGTGGTACAGAAGCCCAGTGCAACTGAGACATGGACAGAAAATCCAGGACTAGCTACTCTCCACAGCTCATCCCCTTCTTCCACTCCTCTCCCTGCTGACTGCAGGACCCCACCCCCCACCTCCAGGCACAGCTCCACAGAGCCTGCTGCATCTTCCTGTTTCCACTTGGATAGCTTATGGGCTTCATACTCATCCTGCCCCAAAAGGACTCTTTCTAAATGTTACAACCTGACCCCCCAAGTTATCCAGGTCAGGGCAGTTAGTCCCATCTTCACTTCCCTGTCCTGTCATGTACCGGAATGATTTTGCTTTTCCAATTAAACTACTACAGTCATTCCTCTTACTTAACACACCCTTCCTGCATCCCTCCCAAACCTCAAATCATATCATTACATCATATCATCATATCATTATATTATTAAATCCACTCTGTTCTGATTATGAAAAGAACTTCCTAACTAGGCTTCCCCAGCCATTCCAGTTTATTTCAAACCCCCCCCCCCCACAATCCCCACATAATTTCCATGTACACAGTAAAACTGAACAAGCTCCTTTTTAGCAAGCTACCAGGAGCAAGTTACCCATAGCCTTTGAGATGAAGACCTGGATTCCCTTAGTTTGCACTCAAGCTCTTCCATGGTGTTTTAAGTTAACTTTCTAACCCAGCTTCTCAGTTTTCTTCTTCAATGCCAATCACTACCACACATGAGTCTTTCCCGGGTAAATGGGTTCCCCTTGCCTTGTCTCTTCAGTCAAAGGTAGAAGTTTGGAATTAGTGGGTCCTTCCTAGCATAAGGGATAACACAAAGACTGGAATGGGCCTCACGTGGTTTGAAGAAAGTCCTCGCTGGGTAGGTCAGGGGACAAGGTCTGGAACCTGGCAGCTGAAATGTGGAAAGTGTGGGAAGTATGCAGCTGACAGGTCTCTCCCAGCAAGAAGATTGTCTGCACAGAGGCTGGCTCCACGGCTCACTAGCCCTCCCTGCCTGCCCCATCCATACTGCTGCTCATATATAGCTTCTCTGAGACACAAGGGAATTGTGGGGGATGATGAAGAGTGAGCTACCAGGGCTCCCTTGGAGAGATGTTCTGCTCTGGGGCCCCAAGATAACTAAACTCTAACTCTAACCCAAGGGGGTGTGCTCTGTCATGTAGGCCAGCTCAAGAATCTAGAAGGCAGGGAAGTGCCCTGCAGTGGTGAGACAACAAGGATGACAGGCGCTGGAAAAGAAGAGCTAGTGGAATAGAGGAGTGGGTGCATGCCAGAAAGCACACAGACACTCCCATTTATGCTCAGAATGCACTATCCATGGGGATCCAGGGCAGTGAGGCCCACCGCCTCTGGCTTCTTGATGCTGCCCTCTTGTGGTCTCAGAGGAGAGTTGCAGTCTCCTGATCACTGGGTGATGGCTAAGGATAATTCTTTAAGGACTGAGGGGATCTGTCCATTTGAGTTCTTCCCACTGACTATGCAGAGCCTTAGTTCTCCCTCCCTCTCAAGCCAATACTTTCTTCCTTGGTTTCTAATCATTACTCCCCTGTCTCCCCCTAAATAAAACTGTGGAGAGTAGTGTTTAAATATGGGGTTCTGTCAAGAATCAGACCTATATACAAATTTGAGTCCAACCTCTTACTAATGGCATGACTGAACCTAGCCTCAGTTGGATGTGAAAACCAAAAAAAAATTCTCTCATAAATATTCATGCTCACTATTATTGCTGAAACAGTTGTAAGAGCCAGTGAAGTAGGAGGAACTTTAGTGGAGATGGTACAACACAGACCAAGCAAGAAACTAGATTAAGAAGGAAGAATGGATAGCAGTGCAGAGGGCTGCTGAGAGATCAAGCTGTAGACACACAAAATGAAATGTTAAAGGTTATCTGAGTGGAACTGTTGCCACGAGTTAGTGGGAATAGAAGCTTGAATGCAGCAGCATGAGGAGGGGGTTGGGAAGAAGTGGAGAAAGTAAGTGTAGATTACTCTTTTAGGAAGTTTGTATGTGAAGGAAAGGAGTAAATGGACACACATAAAGCTCTAAGGAGACATTTTTTTTTAAGATTTATTTATTTATTTATTCATACAGAACTGGGGTACAGGCCAGAGATGCGGAGGGTGAGAGGATTCACCAGGAACAGAGTGGGAAGCCGAACGGGCAGATCGACGAAGTACACTGCTGAGGGGAGCAGCGGGAGGGTCAGGAGAGGTCTGCCACGCCACGTGGAGCTCCTCTGAGTCAGGCGGGGATCGAACTCATGCGGAATTGGCTTAAGCTTCTTAGTGCAGTGCTTTAACCCGCTGCGCCACCAGGGAGGACCACAAAGGAGATTTTTTTTAATAGATATTTTGGACCTAGAAAAGCATTGAATGCTATTAAATGTCAGTAGGATGAAGTTAGTGGAGAGGTTCCCTGTACTTTACTTGTCACATCCCCAGTGGAGTTCAAGACAATGACCAGGTAGGGCTACTGTCTAGAGGGTTAAACACGTGTTTAACTCAGAGTTTCCTTCACTTAAACAGGCTAATATTCTGAATTACAAACGTGGCTCTGTCTATTAGACATCACCATTTAGTTGTCTTTCAAGCACCTCACATTCAGTGCCTCCAAATAAACTGGTTAGCTCTATTCCTCAGTCTATGCCCCCAATCTATGTTTTATATTCTCTATCACAGAAATTCTTCTGTTGCCCAAGCCAGAAACCTAGAAGTCACCATCCCTTTCTTCTCCTTCCCTCTTTCAACTACCTCCTCAACCAGAGTCAGTAAGTCACCAAGTCCTCTTTATTTTGCCTCCTGAATACCTTGTGAATCAGGTGACTCCAGATTATCTCTTGACTTGCTCATCATCAGAAAAACTTGTTCATTGGTCACCCAATAAAGATCTTTCTTATCAATTTACTATCTACTCTGGCCAGTATAGTGTGGCCAAACATCAATCAGGCATCCTCCCACGGGCCTTAGAACAACAGGTTGAAGCTCATGCTCATAGCCCAGCTCATAAAGCACCTGTAAACCATCTCAGTGGATCACTCTATGCCCATCTCCAGCAAATGTACCTCTAGTCCTGCCTGCTAAGTCCCAGGTGCTCTGAAAGTAACTACTACTTCAATGCTTTTTATCACAATTAAACATTCACTGAAGTGTATTTTATGTGTAAGATTCTCTAAGTTTTCTTAATAACTGTGTATTCAATGACCTAGCATCTCTTGTAGGCAGCTGGGTCTATGTCTGGGTTTCTTCAGCCGTCACTGCACACAAATATACTGCTATGCTTCCGGAAGTTCATGGCACTTCACACAGTTTTCTCCCCGCGTTCTTGCTAGGTCTTCCTTGCTCCTGCTCCATCCTTTTGCTCCTAAAATGGCTCTCTTTTCTCTACTCCTCATTTCTCTGTCTCTTGGGACATCTGAGCCTAAATAGGTATTCTTGGTAACTCTGCTCTCCTTTTGCATCTAGTAATTGGTCCCCAGTAACTCAGGAGCATCTCCAAAAATATTTCCACCTTTTTAGGCAGAACTTTAGGTCTTAGTTTAGATCCCCTCCTTCATTCCTGCTGTTCTTCCCCTGCCTAAATGAGAGTATTGCAAATGTAAAAGGGTGATTCCCAAGGAAAGGAAAGTTTCCAGGTTCCCTGTCCCATCCAGAGAAGGGTGGAGCTGACCAGCGACTAGAAGAGAGGAAGAAGGAAGAAGGAAGAATAGAGCCAGAAAGAGACCTAGAGGAGACCTGGAGCAGAGAGGCATGTGAAGAAGCTGTTCTTGCTTCTTGGTCTTGGACTAACTGAAATAGATATGGGTGAGAGACTAACAGGAAGTTTAGCAATGGCGGCTTTCATCATTTTTATTTTTCTCCAGCTGTCCCAGACATACTGGCCCTTCCTGTTCCTTTCTTAGGTTCCCACAGGAGGTGCCTTAGACTTGTGCCAGGACCCTTAGGAGTCAATAACGGATATGGACAAATGCAAATTACAGATGAAAAGAAATCCCTTTTAATTATTTCGGTTCACAGAAGCGCCAGGAAAGTGTGACTAATTTGAACCTAGAGAGTGAAGATATCATTTGGATCTGGGCTTCAATTGAAGGATTTCCTGAATATTTTCCATGTAGTCAGGATGTGTCTTTATTTACTTATTCAGTAAAAACCTAAGTATCAGGCAGCACTGTGTGTGTGTGTGTGTGTGTGTTTAGGGTACCAGTTGAGTTTATCAGGAAAACTCAGAGTTTCTGTTTTATTTGTTTAAATGTCAACCCAGCATCTTCAACATGCAGCTAGGAGAGGTAAATTATCATGCAGGAAATTGCACTCCATGGCATTAAATGATGCCCCCAGTCCCACACTAAACTTGGTCACAGAACTAGAAATGCCTCGCATGCTACTGTTTAACATGGAAAACTTGTGGCAAATGAACAACTTTTTTTAAAAATGCATACAAGGACAGGGTGCGGGCCAGCAGCGGTTGGGGGGGGGGGGGAGTTGAGAGGATTCACCAGAGACAGAGTGGAGTTCTTCCCCCTGACTATGCAGTCCCTTACTTCTCCCTCCCTCTCAAGCCAATACTTTCTTCCTTGGTTTCTAATCATTACTCCCCTGTCTCCCCCTAAATAAAACTGTGGAGAGTAGTGTTTAA